TCACACTGTTTTTTTTGACTGAATGCAGGTGGCTCACTCGGACTTTTTCTCGCAAAGCAGAATGGGGAAATCTGTTGAACATATTTCATGTTCACGCATTCACACGTTTGACTTTCTTTTGTCATATGCAAAACAAAAAGGATGGACACCCCATCATTGCACATCGATCCAAACTTTGGACCATTCCCCTTTCCGCTTCAGCTACATGCCACGTAGGATTTCAGCTTGACACCTTTGATTGGGCATACTGCTTCTGAAATCTGCAGTCTCTCAAGAAAACCCAATTCTCTCAAAGAAAACCTGCTTGGGGCATCCGCAGGATTAGACTTGGACGCAACTCGAGCCATCCACAACATTGAATTGATTCGTTCATCCAAATTTTCAAAAATCAAAAGAAGGTCCCGCCATTCATCAACGGGAGAATTTCCTTTCACCAAAGCATCAAGCACCGGCCAACTGTCGGTGAAGCAAATCAAACGCTGGTCTTGCAGAATGTCAGCCCAGGTATTGAAAGCGATGACCGCTGCATAAAGTTCTACCAAACCAACCACATGAGATTTTCCATCAACCTGCCACCGCTTCAGTGTTTCGTCTTCAACCTTGGTTCCAAACACAAGTTGTCTCCCATCAGGACACAACAGTACGGCTCCTATGCCAGCTGTTGGTTTTCCAGAAGATTCGTATTCCAACGCCCCATCAGTGAAAAGCAAGAAAGGTTTTGATCTCGGAGTGATGCGAATTGTCCGAGGCTTTCCGTTTTTCATCTTCTCAAACAACATGTGTGCAGCGTCGATGCTACGCTGATCCAGCAATGCTTCAGCGCACCCCGACTTCTCATGCCTCCTTAGTTCGGACAACGCCAGCCGTCCAGTTCTTCCCCATAGTTGACCTTCCGCAAATTGAAGCTTGCCCAAGGTTGATGGAAGTTCCTTGACTACCACTTTCTTAGACTGCAGGATTCGATCCAAAACATCGCACAGCTCATTCGCTCGTGAAGCCTTGTTCCTGACTTCGACAATGCCGTTCTTCCCATCAACCAAATTGAGCTCCACTCCCAGCATCTCTGTTTTGTCACTGAAGGGCTGCAGCTTGTCCTTGCTATACTGAAAACCCAACAAGTCAAGAAGAGTCAAGGCCGATGTCATGGTGCTGGCCTCGTGCATTGCATGGCTGAGCACGACAAAGTCGTCGAAAAATGCCGACCAAATCACACCCATGAATCTTCCAATTGCCTGCAGGAAAGCGCTGACTCTAAGAAAATGATGTACACTGGCTGTGGCTCCAAACGGCAGCACCTTCATGATGAAGCAGTCTACCCTCCTCTTGGGAGGGTTCCACAGTGTCACCACTGCGTCCTTGTGATTTTCCTCATGCAAAGGGAATTGTTTGTACGCAGACTTTAAGTCAATGCAAGATGCCTTGAAGTTCGGCTCCACACCTTTCCATGCATGGTGCACTTCTCCAGTCAAGCGTTCCCCTGATTCCAGGGTGAAGTCAAGCCGCCCATCGAAAAGAAGAAATTTCAGAATGGTGAAGAGGGACCACAGCGTATGGTCCATTGTCCTTAACTCCAACTTTTCCGTGCTTGCAAATGTCTGATTCACCTGATTCTCCTTGAAATCGTCGATGGGCCGCAGCTTCTCACGCTGCAGCACTGCAAAGCGCCTTACAGGCAACCACTCCCTTCCCAGCTTAGATTCGATCTCCTCGGGGGAGAATGGGCCTTCAAGCCAGTTCTTATTCTGGGTCTCCTCAACAGTTGTATCGTACAGTTGCTGTTGCAGCTCGTTCCCATCTCCAAGCTTGGCTCTCCCAAGTATCATGGGCTTCAAAAACTTTGTTTTGTCCCTTAGCTGCTGGGGGGACATCTGAGCCAAAGTGACACCAGGCTTGAAAACTCCGGATTCAGACACAGGGCCTACTATTTTGAAACCTTCAGTGAACTCGTCAAAGAGCCCCATGTCTGGCCAGCTCATGTCCATTGCAATGGATCGCATGAGGAGAATGCGCTTGGGCGCCATGATTTTTGCAACGTCGGCATCCATGTCAAGCTTCAACTGTTCTTCCAAAGCATTCAGGGCTTTCGCACGACTCGCCCATTCAGACAAAATCTTGATGCGACTTCGTGTCACTACGTCTGGTGCTTGACTCAAGTGTTGGAAAAGAACTCGTATTAAATCTCCGGGCAAGTTCTTCAGCTCATCATATGGATGCCATAACAGTTTTGCAACATGTGTAAATTCAGCAAAAGAACGGTACACACCAAAAACACAAAGAGTTGATCCCCTTTTCGCTTCAGTTCTCAACAGTTTGCTGCCGGCAGGAACTCCTTGCATGTGATGAAGTAAGCAACCTTTGTGGTCAACCTGGGGCAGCTTGTCCACTTGCATTGTTTTTGTAAAAGAAAACTCGGGTATCAACTGCGGCAGCTTGCGACCTTTGGGCTGTTGATTGGGCGCCAGCTTTTGCACTTCGTCGCTTGCCTGCTGTACTGGCACAATGCCGCGGGCACGGCACAGTTCATGAAAAATTTCGGCATATCTGACACATAAAGCTTTGGGATACTCGGCTTCATGCGAAGTGCTAAAAGCTCCATCATCTGCAATGCCCCATGGAAGGTGTTCATGTTGACCATCGCAATACAACTCTAAGGCGGCAAATTCACGGTGACTGCAGAGAAATGATGTGAGCTTTTTCCTCGCTGAGCCATAGGCGCATGCGTGCATGTTGACAAAAATCCCATTGGCCACGGCCCATGTGAAAAATTCCAAATCCCACATCAGTGAATTTGTTGGATTTTCTATCGTCCATGGAATCCCAGCTTGATGCAACTTCTGCACGTACAAACCACAAAATTTGTAAATTTGATTTGCCAGAAAAACTCTCTGTTGGTCACGTTGAGACAAATGTGGAAGTCCCAACGGAAAATCAGCCGATCTAAGTGGCTGAGGTCCCTTTGTTCCATCCTTCATGGGGATGCCTCTGGCTTTGGAACATGTGCCACAAGGTGGCGCTATGTGGACGCCCGAAATTGTTACTCTCTCCAGCAAAAAGTCAAGCATGTCCCACGCATGTTCATGTGACAAATCCAGTTGTATGATCTTGCAGCGTGGGGCGTGGCGATTCTTGTCATGATCAACGGCAATGATATGGTATCCATGTTGTTTGACAGCGTCTGACAACTTGGCGCTGCCTGCACATAATTCAACAAAGAAAGGCACAGACGTCCCCTTCGGGACCTGTAAAGAATCCATTAAGCCAGCAAAAACTTCGCTCCGTTCACGGCTTTGACCTTGGGGAGGATCCGGTGCTGACTGCTCGGAGACTGTCGGAAAATTTGAATTCACAGGGCTATCTGAGTCCTGTTCAGCATGCTCATTTGGGGGGTGTAGTCACTCCCGCTTGGCACGTGTGCACTCAACCGCTGGGTGTTGTCCATGGCATCCCTTCACCGCACATGCATGAAGACCCTTTGAACATCTTTGCTTATCAACTGGATTGCTGCAAGATTTCAAGTTGTATGAGAAACACAGCCGATGTCCTTTTGGAGTTGCAGCCACTGATCCAAGCGACAGCAGCTCTTTCGGGATGCGGACAAATGAATCTGTTGTGCCCTGAAATTTACTGAAACTCTTTCCTCGGGCCTTTCCCCCGCCTTTGATTCTTTTGGCAGGCGGTTCACCTGCCGCAGGGCCCTCTGATGGCCTGGTTGTTGGCCCGCCTCCTCCAGGTCTCGGTTGCAGCAATGACAACACCTCTGAGCTCTCCATGCACTGCTTGAAGACGGCGTCAATGGGACGGCCTTGAGCATTGCACTTGATGCCTTCTCGGGTCTTCTCGCTGATCAGGAGAAACAATTTTCGATCTGCAGATTCAAGCTGTTTCATTGAAGTTTTCACGTAATTAGCCGGTGGTTCCTCAAGCCTTGCTTGCATCATCTTTTCAGACCATGCTTCCATGTTTTGGAAACTGACAATGTTGGCTTGTTCCATCGCCAAAGCACGCCTGGTTAGGCAATATCGCACCTGAATCTCAGAGGCAGTGCTGCACGGCTCAACGCGTGCCTGCTTGTGTAACTTGAGGGCACCTGTCGAGTCAAACGTCAAGGTTTGGTCACGTTTTGATCCATGCAATATTTCATGTTCGCGACTCGTACAAATGTCCCAAGGAATGAATTGAATCCTGTCAGCATCATAAATTGCGATGCAACGATCCACCAACGCATCTCCTGGTTCATAAGGTCCAGAAATGTTGATGCCTGCCAGCTGTCGTTGTTGAACACGCAACCGTTCTGCCCTCTCAGCTGGAGCAAGTTTCCTTGTGGGCATGTCATCGGTCGCCTCAACTGAGTTCTTGATATCTGCTGCTATGTTTGCGTAACTTTCACTAAACAAGCGTCTGACACATGACATCTCAACAGTTGAAGGCGCCCGCTTAAATATATCCTTAGACAGCTGGATGAGGGGCGACTCGTCTGAACTCCCAGGTGAAAAATTGCAAGAAAATGCAAACTTTGCCATGGTGTCCAGTCCATGGTTGACAATCAACTCGACAACTTCTGCAGTAAAACCAATCTCTTCGCATCTCCTTTTGAAAACTGCCTTGCTGTCACCGTAGCTCATGGTTCCGAGGAGGCAGGATGAAAACCCTAGAAGTAGGTTATGTATTTCAGGCCCATGAACTCGTGCAAACTCGCCCAACATGTAAACACAATCTGTCATGAAAAAGGTTCTGGACGCTTTGAGCAACTGCTAAGTAAAATCATGCAAACCAACTGTTCACTTCTCTGGTTTCGACATGTGTTCCATGAAAAGTTTGAGCACAGCTCTGAAATTTTTCGGCGCTCAAACATTGAGTCCACTTTCTACACACCGCTCAACAACTTGTCGAACGCACATCATGCTGTGTTCACACCTTGACACCGCAACTTGCAGTGCCACTTTCAACATCTCACGCAGGAACACCTCCTGCCTTTTTCCTTCACCGCGATCTCGGAAGGCTCAGGTGGCCCTGTCTCTGAAACATGTTTGGCACACAGGGTGACAAAAGGAAGGCTTGGGCTCCAACACGTCGTATGACTGTGACATTCGCCTGCCACATACAAACTCCAGTCCTGTCTCATCAGCCAATGCATGGATGCACCTGGAAATGCGGTGCCTCACAAAGACCTTTTCTTCCATCGGCTCGACAGTGGCGGGCTGCCATTGGCCCAAGAGCTTCTCACAAGCACTCTCCTCACTTTCGTGATGGGTCTCCTCCTCATTCTCCGAACCGGAGGAAGATGAATCACTCAATTCGTCCCCTTCGATGACCTCATCACCAAGTTCTTTCAAAGGAAAACGGCCTGAACGTGAACAGTCTGGTAAGAAAGCTTTGTTCTTCACAGCCCGTATCATCTCACACATTTGACGAAGGGGTTCTGCCATGCTATCCCTGGAGTAGCACAGCATGCTCTGCTCTTTGCTGCCAGCATGGTATCCCAGCAACTTGCGCTGAGAGTGAGGCAACCCGTACTTCGCCGCCATGGAAAGCAAGCTTGCTTTCAAACTGTGTGTGCCCACGGGCGTTCCACGAGGATCCAAAGTGTCATGGAGCAAACTCCTCAACCAATTGGCGCCTGAGGTCACAGATAAGGGCATCTTGGACCAGGACCCATTTGCAGCAGGAGCAGGAAGGAGAGGAATGAAATCATCCTTGCTGTTGGCCAGATTTCCAAAAATTTTCTTTCTCAGTTCCAGCCAAGTTGGCAGCCACTGTTGATCTCCGAATGGGATCAGCGGCACAGCTACTGGTAGATGCCGCGTCTTTCTCTCCAACGACACTGACGTCTTGGTTTTGGCTGCAACCGCCTCTACAAACCCAAAACCATCCGATTGTTGATCAAGCTGTAACTGGCAAACCTGTTGGCCATCGCTGAAACGAAGCCTCCCCATCAAAACGAAGAGAAAGAACCCAGCCGCTACACGGTCGTACTCAGTCTTGTGGCTGTTGACCACAATGTCCTCTAGGTGGACGATTTGACTGACAGTAAGAGGAGGACGTTGCATTAACTTCCTCTTCTTTGCATACATCGTATTGACCAGTCCTTTGATACGCCCTGAACTCATGATGCTCCCGGTCCCAGTGAGCCCAAAATGGAAATTGGTAAAACTCAACGCCAGCAAGAATGATCTAGCATATGTTGCAGCCTTCGATTCACATGACTTCACATAGTCATACACAATGGGTTCAACCAGTGGAAATGCTTGAATGCCACGGTCCTCACAAAACTGTATGTATTGCAAAATAGGTCCAGCCCTTGAGTGCAGTGTGGCTGAAGCCTTCGTTCCCAAAGAGTCCTTCACAGACTCCAGCAAACCACCTCTGGCAAACTCCATGGTGTGGCAAGTGACCTGTTGCCTTGCAATGTCAAAAGCGCTGACCTGCCTCAAAATGATGCCAACCCACTTCTTATACGCACATTTGCGCTCCCAAGAGAGCTTGTCTGCCCACAAACGTGAATCAGCATTCTTTACGGCTTTGACTCCAATTTGTTTGAAAGACAAAATTTCATCAGCACCTTCATCTGAGTTGCAGACATTCGCACTAACTGGAATAGGCGGCAGAGGTCCATGCAGGTCAAAACCGCTTGTACGTAGTTTCTTACAAGCATCCCAGGGTGTGTTCAAGCTAAGCTCCCATGGCATCTTAAAAGTCGATGCATGATTTGTTGTCCAAACGTGCCTGAGATGTTGCTCATAACAAAACTTGCTCACTGTGGATGAGTCTGTGTCAAAACCCCCAGTCCGCTTTAGATGACCAGAACCTGACGCAGCCATGTCAAATCTGAACAGGTGGATCTGCTACCAACGTGCTGTAGTAGGTGGCAGTTGAGATGCCCCTGGCACGAGCAATGCACAAAACCTGATGCTCTTCCAGATTGTCGTACAATTCAATGGCCCACCCAAAACAAGCAGCACGTAAACACAAGGTTGATTACAAATTGGGGAAGAAAACATTGGGTGGGAAACGAAGTTGGGAGGGTAAAACTAAACTATACACCCACAATTTTGTGAGCTCCCGCCCACCCACCTCTTTCTTGATAATAAATGTTGCACGCTTCAAATATTCAATCGACATTTCAAGGTTTTTTTTTGACATCACAACGTGTAATGCACCATGTACATACCAAACATGTTCATTGCAACATATATTGAAACATGCACAAATGACACATGTAAAATGACAACATCCATCACTTGCGCAACATGCACAAAGAACGGTTTGACGTTCAAAACATTTTTTTTTTGACGAGACGCTCTTTCATCGCTGTCCATTAGACTATAAACAAATATCAGCAAGCTGACATAAAGCATCGACCCGAAAAACACCCTTGCAAAACTGTCGATGTACAATTTTGGTGCCTTTTGGAAAAGGCTTGATGAAAACATTGTCCAAAGGTCCATTAGGTAATGGGATTGCCCATTTCTCGTAATGGCCAAATTCAGAAACAAGGGGTTTGAATTTGCGACCCCGTGGCAACATGTCAAGTAGAAACCTGTGTTGGGACGATGGAGCATGTTGCGTTTGTTGTTCAAGTGTCTGAATTTCGACAGCTCCTAGCTCAAGCGCTTTGAGCTTCGCAATAGAAGCCAAACGTTCACATAACAAAATGGGATATGCAGCCTCCAGGTGAGTTGGAAAAACGACTTTGCCATCAATGATTTCTGCATTCCACTTCTGATGAAAATGAGAACCGTCACAACGTGCTGACAAACATGTGAACCAGTCTACAGTGGCCCACCAGGATGTTCCTTTTTTCCGCGTACCTCCATGACAGCAGTTGTCAAACAAGGTCATGTAGCCTTTGAGCTCCGTCATGAGTTCCTTGATTTGGGGAATCTTCCAGAAGAGCGAGTTCTCTGGGTTTTCAACAGAAACTGCAATGTTGAAACGGTGGCATAGTCTAATGAGCACACACGTACTTTCGTACGTAATGTTTGCAGTCTCGGCTTTGATCTTGTCAATGCCTGTCAAACCATCTAAGCCCAAAGGTTTTTGGTCGCTCCTGAGCGGTTGAGGAACTTTGATTCCCATTTTTGCCAGCTTGGGCAGGGGTCTACCCCGTGCCCTGGAAGCCGTTCCGCAGGAGGGCGCAAAATGCGCCCACAAAATCTGGTGGTGGTGTCTTTCGACAAAATCACAAAGAGCTTGCAGTTGATCAGGTTCATTTAAATCATAACAAGCCACATGCACTGATTGCGCACGCGAATTGTCTTTGTCAACTGCCATGGCTGCCATGCCCAAGTCTTTAACCGCTCTTGTGAGCCTTGCCGTGCCAGCAAAGATTTCCAGCACCATGATTTCGTCTAAGCTATTGCCAGTGAAACTTCGAATGCCACATCCTTCGATGTTTGCTTTGTAATGCTCTTGTTGAGCTTTTTCTCCATTGTCCATGCCTGCAACATCACATGGAGTCTTCGATGCAGGCTCCTCTTGAGCCTCTTTAGTTTGCATGTCTTGAACATCCAAACATGGTTGTGAAACTTTCAGTGAATGCTTTGCAAGCTTCTGATGTGAAACCTTTTGCAACCGCCCAATTGCACTGTAACCACGTTTGCTGCTGTAACCACTGCACTTCTGCGCCTGCTTGTCATTGCGCTTTAGTCAGGATTTCTTGACACGGCACGTCACAAGGCTGTGGTTGCTCCTTTTGCACTTAATACAGATGTGGCTGCCCTTCTTACAACGCCCGTCTTTGGTATCCTCACTGCAGCCTTTGCTCATGTTGAAAGCCCAGCAAATGGGATTCCCATGGTCATCAAACTGGTGGTACCCTTTCAACTCATCAGGACAGTTGGCCTTTGCTTTGCCTGTCGGCTTGGCCTTTTTCTTAGGGGTGACCGTCCTTGGTGGTCCCCCAGTTTTCTTCGATCCATCGTCGACTGAGTGACTTGACGAGGACTTTGCCGATGCTGAAGGTAGAGGCAGCAAACGCAGGCTGATGCGGGGATCATGCATCAACTGTCCCATCAGCAAATCAAGCGGTAATTCACCCCTTGGTCCATTGGCAAACGGCCCAATATGTTCCTGTGCCATCAACGTAAAAAGTTCTCGATCTGCCCGCAAAACCTGTTCCATCTGTAGCTTGGTGTATCCTGTAGGAACTTCTTTGGTCAGTTGAGTCAAAAGATATTGCACCCATCGGTCATGTACATCATTGGAAATCAAGCGGCATTGGTCGAAGGCCAGTCCCCGACGTTGCAGCGCCCATTGCATGAGCAACTCGTTGGAGGTGTCTGCTTTGATCTTTGGCTCTCCTGCCGACAGTCGCAATGTCTGTTGCTCGACGGTAAGTGTGGTAGGCCGCTCTTTGAGCGATTGTTGAACTTCAGAGTCCCTCTTCGTGCACTTGCTTGGTGCTATCCAAACTATGGATCCAGTATCATGTATTGAGGCCACCAAGTCAATGAGAGCATAGGATGGCTGAAGTTCTCCACGAATGGCCAGCCCTTTGAGCCTGGCTTGCTGCTCTTGCAACCTGGCTACCTTTTCAACTGGAGGCAGCTTTCTGGTTCCTTCAGCCCCAGCATCAATCGAAACATTCGTTTTCAAATGTGCTACCACCATTGTAACTGATTCGAAGTGCAGCCTGCGTAGCAATGACATCATTGTGATTGAAGGCTCAATGCCTCCGTTGATCTCCGTTGCAAATTCCTTGAACGTCTCATCGCTAGCAGGTGTTTGGGGCGTCCCCACTGCGAAAGCCATCCTCATGAAACTCGTAAGGTTTGCACTGATGCAAAGATTGAAAAGTTCTTTGCTTTTGTCAATTGCATTGCAATGGCTTGCGAAGGCTGCTTCGGAATCTACCAGAGCCATTGCACTGATTCTGACCGAAGGACCTACTACAAACCCAAAGTCATGCAATATGTTGTTTGAAAATTGACGTGTCATGTTTTTAAAACATCTGTTGCGAAATCTTCTCTAAAGAAAATTTCCTTGACAACGTTTGATCACTCTCTTGCCGTGCACATAAACTGTCATAGCAAGTCTGAGATCAAACCCTCTCTGACCAAACTGCGAGATTGATAACGAAATCACCATGCAACCAAGCTCTGATAATGCCGCAAAATCGCAAGTTGAAAATTCACACATCACAAATTTTCTGAGGGACAAAAAGCATGTGATGACAAGAAAAGAATCTGGGGACGCAGCCATGAAAACCCTTTTGCCCTCTCAGTTTTCAGTCAAGCTTTGCATGGAAACACTGACGGCACTTTGGGGTGTCAAAGGCATGGCGCGTTTGCGCTACCTTATACATATGGCTAGTTTTGCGTCCACACAAGAACACCACACGGTTTTCTGACTTCATCAGGTGCAGCGTCTTCCACTTGCAGTGCTGGTGCAGTACCGTGCCTTCAGGTGCAGTTATATCACGATAGGACACTTTCGGTCTCACCGTGGTCTCAACATCAGACTCAGTCTCACTGCCTGTCGTGGCATGGTCACTTGCAAGAAATTCAACATTGTCATCATGTTCCAACTTGACATCATCGTGCTGTTCATCCACAACAATGGTCTGATCTGCTGCATCACTGTTGCGTGTGCCCACAACATGCATGGCAGAGTCTTCCACGTTCATGCTCGGCAAACCACTGAGCCTGCCACTGCGCGTGTCGTTTGGGTTGAAAGCCTTTTCACGAATCTCCTTTAACATGCACTCCAAAACCCTCAAAGGTCGAGAGGCACCGTCCCGAGAATACACAAGAGCCATCTTCAGGTTGTGACTATGGTAACCCAAACTGAGGCGATCTTCAAATGAACATCCTCTCTTTGCTGCATAGCTCAAGCATGTTGCTTTCAAGGAGTGTGATGAAAAACGTATTTGTTTGTTGGCCACATCCACACTGAGGAGGTCACGCATCCAACTGCCGGCTTCTGTGGTGGTCAACGGTCTCTCAGTCGGCTCTTGCGCCGCGTTTGGAGCAGGCATAAGTGGGTATTGTTTGAGATCATGAATTCCAAGCTTCTTGCGACATTCACACCATTCAGATCCCCAATTCCCTTCTACTACTCCCAAACACGGTGCAACAAGTGGAAGAAACAAATGCCTGAGTTGCAATGCCTTTGCCGTCTTGTGAACTCCAGTTGCAATCTCAATGTATGCACAGTTTCCCGTTTCATCATAGTCCTCCAAGAACTGCTCACCATGCTGGGCATCGCTCCAACGCGATCTTGCATACACGCAAAAAAGGAGCATCCCTGCAAAGACTCGATTCCAAAGTTCATCACTGTTGAAAAGCACATTGTGAAGAATCTCAAGTTGTTTCACTGACAACGGTTCAGCTTGGTGAATCTTATGGTTAACATCTAAGGCTGCGACACCTTGGCAACGCCTGCTGGCTGTAATTCCCTCAAACTCCAGGACTCCAAGCACATGCCGACAAAATGTCACAGCTTCAATGAAACCCTTGAGTCTCGATGGTGGTGCTCCGTTTTCACGTTCAACACACATGAACTCATAAAACTGAGATTCATCACATGGAAAAGTCCTGCCACGATCTATGAAATAGTTCGTCAACCTGGACATGCTCCTGCATCGCTTCATGATTGTAGCAGGTGCTCTATTGTGAAAGATGTCAACAAGGACCTGTGCTTGCGCTGAAAAAC